TGACACCTTGTGTGCTCCCGCCTGGTTCACACACTTATGTAACACGGGCAAGCGCAGGCAGCTCAGAGGCCAGGATCACACACACTCATCCATCCATTCACATATTCACGATGGCTCAGCCGTCCACCAATTCATTCATGCACTTGCTCACTTCGTTCACGCACTCACTCATTCACTGTCACCCACCGGGCCCTCCAGCCACCCAGCCGATCACGCACTCACTCCCTCAACCCTTCAGTCATCGCCTCAAGAATCGAGTGCTGGGCCCCGAGCACGGTTTGGGAAGGGGCTCAAGGAACTCTCTGGGATGGTGATAAGGTTCTAGATCCTGGCAGAGGTGGTGCGTGCACACACACACACACGGGCACGTGCACATACACATGCACACACACACACGGGCACGTGCACACACACATGCACACACACACGGGCACGTGCACCACACACATGCACACACACGGGCGCATGCACACCACACATGCACACACACACGGGCACGTGCACACACACATGCACACACACAGGCGCGTGCACACACACACACACACATGGGCGCGTGCACACACACATGCACACACACAGGCACGTGCACACACACATGCACACACACACGGGCACGTGCACACACACATGCACACACACGGGCGCGTGCACACACACACACTGGCACGTGCACACACACATGCACACACACACGGGCACGTGCACACACACATGCACACACACGGGCGCGTGCACACACACCACACGGGCACGTGCACACACACATGCACACACACGGGTGCGTGCACACACATGCACACACACACGGGCGCGTGCACACATGCACACACACACACACACACACTGGTGCGTGCACACACAGACGCATGTCCCGTGCCCGGGCAGCCGGCCTGCACCAACCCGTGGCTGGTTGGCGACTTTTATGGGTGGTGAGTCTCTGTCTACCCTCCAGGGAGGCTGCTTCCATGCCAACTTCAAACCCGGTGCCAGAGGTTCCAGAACCTTCTGGGCTCTTCCTGGCAAGACGTCCCCGGAGGGTGGAGAAGGCAGCTGCCTGGACATGACCCTGGCATCCACTCGGCAGAAGGAAAATACCAGAAACGCAAGAAGAGGCTTTGCTCACCAACTCAGAACACGTTGGCGAATGATGGCGGCCGGATGCTTTTTCTGGCTTTGGCACAAAGCAAATATCTGGGATCCTGAGCCGGGGGGTTGGGTGGGGGGCTGGGAATCAGAGAGCCATGAAAAGTCTTTCTAACCGCTGAAAAGTGCGCACCCCCGCCCCAGCCCTTCTCACAACTCGTGGCCCACCGGCAATCCCGAGGTGAGAGGTTCAAAGCCAGCCTGAGAAGTGTCACAGGCTTTCCCGTCCAGGCTGCCTCTGATCTCAGCTCCTGAGGAGCTGGGATGACGGGTGAGCCGCGGGTCCCCGGCGGTAACTGTCCCCATCACCGCCCCAAGGGCCGGCGAGCTAGGCCTGGAATCCTCCACGCCCTCCGGACCCACACGCCTGCGTCTGCTCCACTGCCATTCACCACCAGTGCTGGATGGGATGCATTTAGTGGGTTAGTGAGCACTGAGCGCCCAAGAATCAGATTCTGCTCCATGCAAGAACATTTTGAGTGGTCCAAAGCCCCTGATGCTGAGCCCACAGCGGGGTGCGGAGCCCTGGGGGAGGTGGGTGCCATGGGGTGCAGCTCCCGAGTGCGGGGGGCGTCAACTTCCAGCTGGGGCCGAACACCTCACCCTGCCCGCCCTCAGATCATCGCTTACAGTATGTCATCGCCACCACGGCTGCATAACAAGTAGCCCCGCAACTGACAGTCTCAAAACAGGGTGGCAGCGGCCCGCCCCTGTCACCCTAGCTCCTCGGCAGGCTGAGAAAGGAAGGATCCTGGTTCAAGGCCCACCCTGGGCAGAAAAGTCTGCAAGACACCACTGAGATGTTGGGTGGAAATCCAGACTCCGTCTCAAAACTAAGCAATGGAAAATGGAGCTGGTGGTGTGGCTGAAGTGGCAGAGCGTCCGGCTAATAAGTACAAGACCCTGAGCCCAGATCCCCAGTGCCACACACACACACCCCTACCTCAACCACAGCCGGCCCCTGCCATGCATCGGACCCCCCCACTGCCCCCCCCCAGCGTAGGAGAGGGCTGGCCCAGGACAGCAGGGGACTGTCAGGGGCCAGCGGTGACCAGCTGTGAAGCATGGCCATCAGTCACTAATTACAAATCACAACACCACAAACAGGTAAGACATACAGGCAATAAATATTCAGGCATTCACTTTATTTCGGGAGTCTCAGTGTGTAGACCAGGCTGGCCTTGAACTCACAATCCTCCAGCCTCAGCCTCCCGAGTGCTGGGATTACAGGCATGAACCACCACACTCAGCTTTAATCTCCTTTTTTGTTTTTCCTTTTTTTTTTTTTTGCCAGTCCTGAGCTCAGGGCCTGAGCACTGTCCCTTGGGTCTTTTTGCTCAAGGCTAGCACTCTACCACTTGAGCCACAGTGCCACTTCCAGCTTTTTTCTGGTGATTAATTGGAGAGATAAGAGTCTCAGGGACTTTCCTACCCGGGTTGGCTTTGAACCTCGATCCTCAGATCTCAGCCTCCGAGCAGCTGGGATTACAGGCGTGAGCCACCAGCACCTCACAGCCTGGATCTTTTCTCAGTGGCTTTACTACGCTTTATTAAGGGGCCCGCCTGAGGCCCACGGAATCATTCAGCACCCAACAGGACAGCCAAAGCCACACATGCCTCTCACTGGCTGCCCCAGCCACGTCCATTATTTTATGACTGTGATGACTTTTATAAACATCCAAATGACCTCTGGCAGGGCCTGGTGTAGACACCACAGGATAAAAGAATATGAGATCGAGGCTGCTCTCCTCCCACGGCACAGATGGCGCCCCACCCACCGCGCACAGACCCAGGCCGGCCCACGTTCCTCTTTGCAGGGAATCCTCCCCTCCCCTCCTCACCAAGTCCCCCCACAGCCCTCCCCGGGTCCCGCAGCAAACCACACTTCCTTCCTTCCCTACTTCCTGCCCGGAAGTCCCGCATCTGTCCCAACAAAGCTTCTGAGGTTTGGAGCCCTAGAGAGAGCCCTAAGCGAGCACAACAAAGGTCCTGGGGTCCCGGAGAGGCACCGCCCCATGGCCGGACAGGAAATGACCGGAACGTGCAACAGTTTATGGGACCCACAAACACAGCCCAGCCGCACGCTGCCTGGAGGGACACTAACGGCGTTTGCTAGACGCGTACGCAGCCGTTCTTTTAGGTTTGCTTGTCGTGTGAGATTTGAACTCAGGGCCTCCCACTCTGTCAGGGCTGGTGCTCTACCACTTGAGCCATTCCTCCAGTCCAGCTTTTTTTTTGCTGGCAAACTGGAGGTAAGCGTCTCACAGACTTTTCTGCCAGGGCTGGCTTTGAACCTGGGGATCTGAAGTTTCCCGAGTCACTAGGATGACAGGCGTGAACGACCACACCGGGCCGTTCTTTTATTACTATTGTTATTTTAAAGGATCAGAGGAGACAGAAGGTGAGCACGTGTGTTTGGGAGAGGAAGGGAAAGGCCAGGAAGGAAGCTGGCCGGGTGTCCAGGCGGGACTTCCCCCTGGGGGAGGCGTGGGTGGGTTTTGTTTTCTTTTCATTTTTTTTTTCCTGTGCACTGGCTACTTTTCCCACTGGGGACCAGCCTGTCCTGGGTCACCCCGTCTCCCGCAGTGGCACCTCACCCGGGCCTGGCCCCCGGGGTCCACAAAGAGCCCTCTGTTCTCCGCTGACATCATGCCGAAGGGTGGACGGAGGCCTGAGACGGGGTGAGGCCAGACCCCGAGGGAGGCCACCGGCCCAGCCCTGACCTCATGCTGGCCTCTGGGGCTCCAAGCTTAGCCCTGCTCCCCAGTCCCACACCCCCAAGGTGCGGCCGGAGGTCAGACACCTGGCAGGACCCCCGGATGGCCCAGAACAGGGATGTGCAAACCTGCCGTGGTGACTTAGCTTCTGATCTCGTGATATAGCTGGGGCGGCCTCAATTCATGATCCTCCAGCCTCGGGCTCCCCAGAGCAGAGATTACAGGTGTGACCCACAGGCTGCTCTGATCTGTGCGTTTGGAGTGGAAACCATCTGAAAAGCAAGCTGGGACTCCCTCCCAGGTCACAGGTGGACAGCACGGAGGAAGAACTACTTCCACGTGACTCAGTGTTTGCGGGCACCCGTGCTGGGGCCTGGCGGAACCCAGGAGCGGCTGGGCCGCGCTGCAGCCCTGGGGGAGGCTGCCCCTCTGCCCCCAGGGCGACACCACGCAGGCCACGGCGCGGATGGGGGCCGGGGCCGGTGACCCACCGACCCGGCTCTGCAGCCACTGGGACCCCGCAGAGGGCCTCAGTCTGAATCCACCCTCCTGGGGCAGGGGTTCCCCCAGCCCCCAGCTTCCCGCTGGGCTCCGCCCCTCTGCAGGCCCCGGCCCCCAGGCCTCCTCCTGACTTTCCTTTCTCTGGCAGGAAAAGCATGTGGGGTGCACTTTGGAGGGTGCCCCTGCCTGCCAGGAGCTGGCTAGCGGAGGCAGCATGGCCCGGCTGAGCCGCAGGCCGAGATCGATCGCACTGGAGCTGGGGAGGGCCCAAGGACCCTCCGAGGGCGTGGCCCCGGCACACGCTCCCCAGGCCGCACCGCCTCCCCCCCCCAGACAGATTATTTGGGAGGAAGCGGGCTTGCTCCGCTTCATCGGAAGAAAGAAGTTGACTGTCCCGAGGACCTGTCTGCACAGAGTTGGGAAGTGGAGCACAGAGAGGGCGGGTGCCCAGGAAAGGTCACCCAGCGGGGCCATGGCGAGCACTGAGGCCCCTTAGCGGGACACGTCCATGCGAGCCGGGGGCCCCCCACCCTGACGCGTGCCCGAACCCCACAGTCACCCCTGCCTGTGTTTGCTGGGCCGCACTGGACAGCGCCAAGTGGCCTGCACACCAACATCATTCATTCATTGATTCGTTCATTCGTCTGCAGGGGCAGGGGGCCTGCCTGGAGGTGCTGATGTGTTAAAGAGCCACAAGGCCTGGGCTTCCAGGCCCTGGGCACCTGAGGTCACCTGGGGAGTGGGGGGCGGGGGAGGCGAGCGGAGCTGGGGGTCACCAGAGGATCAGAGAGATGGCCCGAGCCAGAGACACACAGGAGAGACAGAGAGCCCCACTCACACGCTCAAACCCCACCCGCGTCGGGCCACAGAGAAACAAGCAGGGACCAGCAAGACCAGAGGGTCCCCGTTAGGGGGCCTGGGCGCCCCACTGGAGCAGGAGCGAGCCCCGGGGCCTGCCATTTGCTGTGCCGCCTCAGGCCGGTGGCTTGCCCTCGCTGAGCCTGATTCACATATCATGTCCCTCTCAGGACACAGCGTGCTTGGCCCCCCCCCACTGGCCTTCAAGCCCTCTGGACCCCTGAAACACGGTGTGTACCCCCTCAAGCAAGCCTAAATACCCCTCCCCACCTGGCCACTCCCACCAAACCCACGTTCACAAGCCAGGACCCCCCCCCCACACACACACACCGAACCCTTTCCCCCGGTCAGGTCATCAGACCCGGCTTCTGCCATGATGGACAGCGGGCCTGGGAGGGCCAGGCGGGCCCAGCAGGTGTCCGCTAAGCCTCCCTAAAAATAGGGAGCGTGTGGGCCGCGGGCCGGAGTGCCGCGCTCAAATCCAGCAACCCCGCTCCCCCCAGACCCCAGCCTGCATCTCCCGGTTCACCGGGGGGGACGGGGCTCCCCGGGCGGGCCGGCCCGCGGACGGTGCGGGAGGGGGGGGGGCACCCGGCGCCCACGGCGTGTTTATAAAACGGCGCTGGCGCTTACGCGGTCGGGGGCCTCGGGCTCCGCGCGCCGCCTCCGGAGGGAGGAGAACCGCTGCTGACTCCGGGCGGAAAAGCGGCGGAAGGAGTCCCGGCCGCGGGAGGCCAGGTGCCGCACCGACGAGGCGCGTCGGAAGGGGGCGCGGCTGGCAGGCTCCCCGCGGGTCCACTCCCGGCGGCCGCCGGGGCCCGCCGTGGTGGTCACCAGGCTGAGGGCGTCCTGGAGCGACCGGCGCACGGCGCCCACCCACTGCGTCACGTGGGACTGGGCCACGGTGAGTTTGTCCCCCAGGAAATCCATGGGGCCAGCCTGGAGGCGGCGGCGTCCCGACCCGGCGAGGACGGCGTCCTGGGCCTGGCGTCCTGGGCCCGGGCCTCGCTCGCTTTGGAAAGCCCGGCAGCGCTCGTTAGCCAAAGCAGGAGTTGATGAACGTCATCGCCGAGCTGCAGGGCCAGGGTTGGGGGGCCGGGTCTAGAAGGTGTCCAGGGAGAGCCGGTCCGGGCCCGATGAGCTGCAGCCACTCACTCCGGGGCCTGACAGTCCCCAAGAGCTGGGGCCGGGATGGGGGGGGGGGCGTCGGCGACCCCCGCTGCCGCTCCGGGCCAGGGTCCACTCACCTGACCCGGGCAGGTTTGCCGTCCTGGGCTGGCGTCTCCAAACCTGGCGTGCAGCCCGCGTCCGGCTCACTCACTTCCGAGACAGCCCCCCCCAGGGCCCCCGGGGGCCTGGCGGAGCGGGGATGACATCACCCTGGGCCGGGCGGGCGGGTGGGGGGGGGCTGACAGCCCAGGAATGCGGGAGCGGCCTGGGAGGGGGCCAGGGCGCTCGGCTCCACGCTCCGTCCTGTCGCGGCCCGCCACGTCCCCGGGGACCGCGGGGACTCACGGGCTGCCCACCTCCCATCCCTGCGGCAGCCCGGCTGCGCAAGTGGGGGGCGTGGGTGGGGGAGGCGGGGGACCCCAGGAGGCCTGGAAGGGCGGCATCCTGGAGCCTGTCGGTGCGTCTGTGTGTCTGTCCCTCTCTGATCTCTGTGGGTGTCTCAGGCTCTCTGCTCCTGCAGGGCTGGCTCTCTCTCTCTCTCTCTCTCTCTCTCTCCCTCCCTCCCCCTGGGAGGCGGCAGCTGTGCACCAGGAACCAGGTGAGCTGCCCGGACGACCCCCCCCCCAAGCCGGGCGGTGTATTTTGGTCTGAGGCCGGGTTGCCATGGTAACCGGGCCCAGCGTCGGCCCACCCCGAGGGCGGCCCCGCCCTGCGATGGGAGGGCCGGGCGCTGGGAAGGATCCGCCCGGCCGGTCACGTGAGCTCGAGGGGCTTTAACCCTTAGGGAGCTGGAGGAACGGCGGCCGGGTGTGAGGGGTGGGGGGACGGGGCGGGGGGGGGGGGGGGGGGACGGGGTGGTGGGGGATACGGATGCGGAGCGGGCTGGATCCAAGGCTTCCCCACAGTCCTGGGAGAGAAACAAAGGCAGGCTCAGAGAGGTGGAGCGGCCTGCCCGAGGCCCACCGGCCCGGTGAGCTGCGCTGCACAGGTCTGCCCGCGGCCAGGGCTGGCTGAGTACTTGTTGCTGGGATGCCACCACGTTTGAAATCCCGATGGGCCGAACGCGCCTGTGGCCCCGGGCCACCACCTCCCCAGCTTTGGAATGGAGGCTGGCGGGCGCGGGCCGGGGCCTGGCGGAGCCCCGCCCCCCCCACACCTGCGGCCTCCGCCCCCCACACCTGCGGCCCTCCGCCCCCCCACACCTGCGGCCTCCACCCCCCACACCTGCGGCCTCCGCCCCCCCCCACACCTGCGGCCCCCGCCCCCCCACACCTGCGGCCCCCGCCCCCCCACACCTGCGGCCTCCGCCCCCCCCACACCTGCGGCCTCCACCCCCCACACCTGCGGCCTCCGCCCCCCCCCACACCTGCGGCCCCCGCCCCCCCACACCTGCGGCCTCCGACCCCCCCCACACCTGCGGCCCCCGCCCCCCCACACCTGCGGCCTCCGACCCCCCCACACCTGCGGCCCCCGCCCCCCCACACCTGCGGCCTCCGACCCCCCCACACCTGCGGCCTCCGCCCCCCACACCTGCGGCCTCCGCCCCCCCACACCTGCGGCCTCCACCCCCCACACCTGCGGCCTCCGCCCCCCCCCACACCTGCGGCCCCCGCCCCCCCACACCTGCGGCCTCCGACCCCCCCCACACCTGCGGCCCCCGCCCCCCCACACCTGCGGCCTCCGACCCCCCCACACCTGCGGCCTCCGCCCCCCCACACCTGCGGCCTCCGCCCCCCCACACCTGCGGCCCCCGCCCCCCCACACCTGCGGCCCCCGCCCCCCCCACACCTGCGGCCCCCGCCCCCCACACCTGCGGCCTCCGCCCCCCCACACCTGCGGCCTCCGCCCCCCCACACCTGCGGCCTCCGCCCCCCCACACCTGCGGCCTCCGCCCCCCCCCACACCTGCGGCCCCCGCCCCCCCACACCTGCGGCCTCCGCCCCCTCCCACACCTCGGCCTCCGGCGGGGCAGGGCAGGGTGCGGGCAGCAGGCTCCGGGAGGGCCCAGGCCTGCGGGGCTGTGAGCCCGGCTGACAGTCGCCCATCGCCTGGCCTGGCACCCGCTGCGAGTGCGGAATCTGAGCCCATTTGTCAGAAGAAGAGACCGGAGCCCAGAGAAGTGAGGTCACCGGCCACGCCGGGTGACCCGATGGCCCCAGGGACGGCCGCTCGCCCCTTTCATGGTGCCTGCTGTGGGCGAAACGGGGCTGAGTGTGCGCAGGGGGCGGCGGGCGGGCGGCGGGGCCCGGGGCGCGCTCATTGACTTGCTCATGGCCGCCATGCTGCCAGGAAGCTCAAGCTCTGCCCCGCGGACCCACCACAGCGACAAACAGGGTGGCGGTCCTGCCGGCAGTCGCCTGACCGGGTCCCCCGTCCGCGCCACCCCCCCCATCACCAAACCACTCCCAACTTCCTGGCCCACACAAATCACAGGAAGCACCAGGGGCTGGGTGGGGTCTGGCGGGGAGGAAGCCGGGGTGGAGTGGCCTGGCAGCTCACCGCGCACGCACCCGCGCACGCGCCTCCCCACAGGGCCCACCGAGGCGGGAGAGGCCCTGGGGCAGGCGGTGGCGTGGGCGTGTCTCCGCGAGGAAGTCTAACCGCGTGGGCGCTGGCCAGGTGACGCCCGGCAGGCCAGGCATCGGGTCGTGGGGCCAGCGGGCCAGGGGCGGGGGGTGGGACGGGGTAAAGCGGCCGTGGGGTGGGGGCGCCGTGGGCACCGGCGTGGCTCCCTGCCCACCTGGGGCCTGCATCAGAGCTGGGCACGGGCCGGTGCGGGTGGACACACACGCTCGTCCACGCCAGCCTCTGCCCCGGGGCCCATAGGGTTCGGAACTACTAGAACCTAATTGTTGGGAAAAAAGAGGCTTTGCTCCTTGGCATTGGGCCAAGTGGGGCGCGGGGGGGGGGGGGGGGGGGGGGGGCGGGGAGGGGAGGGGCGGGGAGGGGAGGGGAGGGGAGGGGGGAGGGGAGGGGAGGGGAGGGGAGGGGGGAGGGGAGGAGAGGGGTGGGGAGGGGTGGGGAGGGGAGGGGAGGGGAGGGGAGCGCCAGGCTGCGTGTATGTCCGCAGGGTCGGCTCTGTTCCCCCTGCAGGCCTTTTATTTTCATTTCCTTGGTTCTCTATGTCTGCCGGTGCTGGCGCTGACTCGGGGCCTGGGCCCTGTCCCCGGGCGCTCTCATCCACGGCGATCGCTCTGCCGCTTGGAGCCACAGCGCCACTTCTGGGGTTTGAGGGGTTCATGGGAGATGAGAGTCTCCCGGGGACCTTCCTGCCCGGGCTGGCTTTGACCGCGATCCTCGGATCTCAGCCTCCTACGTAGCTGGGATGACAGGCGGGAGCCACCCCGCCAGGCCATTTTTACTTTTAACAACTAGACGGAACTGAAGTATTACTGGGCTTGGCGTGTGTACTGTCTTTCACCCGGATGGGAGACCATCCGCGTCCTGATTAAGGATCTGGAGATTCACACACGTGTGTGCGCACACACACACACACAACGCTACCTGTTACTGTGCGGCCTGAGCAGGTGCTGGCCCCGTCACACAGCTGCCTGACGCCACCGCACCACGGCACCAACCACGGCACCAACCACGGCACGGCCTCAGCCTACTCCATCGCCTGCCCCTCCCAACAGCGCCATCTGTCTGCGGGTCAAGGAGACGCGGAGCCCAGAGTGGCAAAGCCACCAGCCCGGGGCAGCACAGCGGCCACTGGAGTCCAGAGGGGGCGGGGGGGGGGGGCAGACGTGGCGAGGAGCTCGGGGGAGGGGCAGAGTCGGGGCACCCCCCCCCCCCCCCGGCACAGTGTGCTCCAACTGTGGCTGTAAGAGGCGGCACTGGGCCTGCAAACTGGGGCAGCGTGGGCCTCGGGAGGCTCTGATGCGAACACTGATCTTTCCAGAAAACTCTCGAGATGAGAGAGAGAGAATGAGAACGAGGTTCAGGGGGGCATCCAGCCCTTCCTTACTGGAGCTGGCCGGGGTGGGCGGAGGTCAGGGGTCGGCACCTCTCCCCACGGCGCCTGGCGGGATGGCCCCCGAACCAGAACGTGCCAGTCGCGTGCTCACTCAGCAAGCCTCTGGCGGGCCGCCCTAACAGCTGTGTGCGGCCGGCTGGCCTCCGGGCTCTGGACCTCAGCGGGGCTAGAAGCCCACGGCCCCACAGCGAGAGTCTGGGCTGGTGGGCGGGGGGGGGGGTGGGGGGGGGCGAGCCAGGGCCAGCGGGGGGGGGAGCCAGGGCCAGCGGGGGGGGGAGCCAGGGCCAGCGGGGGGGGGGGGGAGCCAGGGCCAGCGGGGGGGGGGGAGCCAGGGCCAGCGGGGGGGGGAGCCAGGGCCAGCGGGGGGGGGAGCCAGGGCCAGCGGGGGGGGAGCCAGAGCCGGGGGGGGGGGGGGAGCCAGGGCCAGCGGGGGGGGGGAGCCAGGGCCAGCGGGGGGGGGGAGCCAGGGCCAGCGGGGGGGGCCAGGGCCAGCGGGGGGGGGGAGCCAGGGCCAGCGGGGGGGGGAGCCAGGGCCAGCGGGGGGGGGAGCCAGGGCCAGCGGGGGGGGGAACCAGGGCCAGCGGGGGGGGGGGGAAGCCAGGGCCAGCGGGGGGGGGGTCAGGGCCAGGGCCAGCGGGGGGAGGGCAGCCAGGGCCAGCGGGGGGGGGGCAGCCAGAGGCGGGGGGCGGGGGGGGGCCAGGGCCAGCGGGGGGGGGAGGGGAGCCAGGGCCAGCGGGGGGGGGAGCCAGGGCCAGAGGCGGGGGGCGGGGGGGGGGGGCCAGGGCCAGCGGGGGGGGGGGAGCCAGGGCCAGCGGGGGGGGGGCCAGGGCCAGCGGGGGGGGGGAGCCAGGGCCAGCGGGGGGGGGGGTCAGGGCCAGGGCCAGCGGGGGGGAGGGCAGCCAGGGCCAGCGGGGGGGGGGCAGCCAGGGCCAGAGGCGGGGGGCGGGGGGGGGCCAGGGCCAGCGGGGGGGGGAGGGGAGCCAGGGCCAGCGGGGGGGGGGAGCCAGGGCCAGAGGCGGGGGGCGGGGGGGGGCCAGGGCCAGCGGGGGGGGGCCAGGGCCAGCGGGGGGGGGGGGCCAGGGCCAGCGGGGGGGGCAGCCAGGGCCAGCGGGGGGGGGGCAGCCAGGGCCAGCGGGGGGGGGGAGCCAGGGCCAGCGGGGGGGGGGGAGCCAGGGCCAGCGGGGGGGGGGAGCCAGGGCCAGCGGGGGG